AGCAATGCAACTAATGAGTTAGTTGCGAGATGATGTATTACAGAACGAGTAAAGAGACTTGCCGGTAACGAGATTGAACTAGGTATTGGATACCGACGATCGAATCTCGAGCAAGTAACATATCGATGACAAAGGGAACAACGTATGTTGTTATGCGGTCTGACCGATAAAGATCTTCGTAGAATATGTAGGAGCCAATATGGGCATCCAGGTCCCGCTATTGGTTATTGACCGGAGACATGTCTCGGTCATGTCTACATTGTTCTCGAACCCGTAGGGTCCGCACGCTTAAGGTTCCGATGACAGTTATATTATGAGTTTATACATTTTGATGTACCAAAGGTTGTTCAAAGTCCCGGATGTGATCACGGACATGACGAGGAGTCTCGAAATGGTCGAGACATAAAGATTGATATATTGGACGGCTATATTCGGACACCGGAAGTGTTCCGGGTGATTTCGGAGAAAACCAGAAAGCCGGAGGGTTACCGGAACCCCCCCGGGAGAAGTAATGGGCCATATGGGCCTTAGTGGAGAGAGAGAGGGGCAGCCAAAGGTGGGCCGCGCGCCTCCTCCCCCCCGGTCCGAATTGGACTAGGAGAGGGGGGGGGCGGCGCCCCCCTTTCCTTCTCCCTCCCCACTTCTTTCCCCCTCCTAGTAGGAGTCCTACTCCTACTAGGAGGAGGACTCCTCCTTGGCACGCCATAGGGGCCGGCCGGCCTCCTCCTCTCTTGAACCTTTATATGCGGAGGCAGGGGCACCCCAGAAACACACAAGTTGATCCACGTGATCATATTCTTAGCCGTGTGCGGTGCCCCCTGCCACCATAGTCCTCGATAATATTGTAGCGGTGCTTAGACGAAGCCCTGCGACAGTAGTACATCAAGATCGTCACCACGCCGTCGTGCTGACGGAACTCTTCCCGACACTTTGCTGGATCGGAGTCCGGGGATCGTCATCGAGCTGAACGTGTGCTAAAACTCGGAGGTGCCGTAGTTTCGGTGCTTGATCAGTCGGGCCGTGAAGACGTATGACTACATCAACCGCGTTGTCATAACGCTTCCGCTGTCGATCTACAAGGGTACGTAGATCACACTCCCCCCTCTCGTTGCTATGCATCACCATGATCTTGCGTGTGCGTAGGATTTTTTTTGAAATTACTACGTTCCCCAACAGGTGAGTAAGGACATGAACAAAGAGCTAATAAAAAACTTCACAACAGAGGAAATTAGTGACGCTCAGTTTCAGATCGGTCCCCTTAAAGCTCCTGGGCCGGACGGATTTCCTGCGAGATTCTATCAAAGAAACTGGGAAGTTCTCAGAGATGACGTTATCAAAGGTGTTCTGAGTTTTTTTTTGATAGTGGCCACTTACCGAAAGGGATTAATGACACAGTGATTGTACTCATTCCCAAGAGTAAAGACCCTCAATCACTGAGAGATTACCGGCCTATAAGCTTATGCAATGTCCTGTACAAGGTGATCTCAAAGTGCCTTGTGAACCGGTTACGCCCCTTGCTGGATGGCATCATTTCAGAGACCCAGAGTGCATTCATCCCCGGCAGGATTATAACAGATAACGCCACCATTGCTTTTGAGTGCTTCCATAAGATACAACACAGCAAGAAAACCCATAATACACATTGTGCGTATAAACTGGACCTCGCCAAGGCATATGACAGGGTAGATTGGTGCTTCCTCGAGGAGGTGCTGCTGAAAACCGGTTTTGATAAGAGGCGGACGAGCTGGGTTATGCAGTGTGTATGGTCAGTTAGATACTCGGTCAGGTGCAATGGAGAGCTGCTAGAACCTTTCACGCCATCTAGAGGTCTTAGACAGGGAGATCCCCTCAGCCCGTACTTATTCCTTTTTGTTGCAGATGGCTTAGTTAATCTGCTATGTAAGGAAATTAACGATGGGAACCTAACACCTCTTAAAATCGCGAGGAATAGCCCGGGCATCTCAAACCTCCTTTTTGCTGATGATAGCCTTCTCTTTTTTAAGGCAACAGTGGATCAAGCAAGAGTCATCCGAAGAGTCTTGGAAAACTTTCAGAAGGGTACATGCCAACTTCTTAGTGAGAGCAAATGCTCTATTCTATTCAGTGAGATTTGCCCAGCTGAAACTAGGGAAGAAATCAAGAGCACATTGGGAGTGATCTCTTCGTCCTTTGAGAGCAAGTACTTGGGACTCCCGACCCCAGAAGGGAGAGTGAAGGATGATAATTTTCAGCCGATCATGGATAGATTTCGGAAAAGATGTAATGATTGGTCGGAAAAGTATATGGCGTATGCTGCAAAGGAAGTTCATGTCAAATCAGTCGTCCAAGCTCTACCGTGCTACACGATGGGTGTTTTCCTCCTTTCAAAAGGTTTTTGCGGTAAATACGAGAAGCTGATTCGAGATTTCTGGTGGGGGGATGAGAATGGACACCGTAAGGTTCACTGGATGTCATGGGAACGCATGATGTTGCCGAAGAGAGCGGGTGGAATAGGTTTTAGGGACATGCACCTATTTAACATTGCTCTACTTGCCAAATAGAGCTGGAGGCTGGTCCAGAATCCAAATAGCCTTTGTGCTAGGATACTCAAGTCAAAATACTACCCGAATGGCAACCTTTTGGACACTGTTTTTGCATCTGATGCATCTCCCGTGTGGAAGGGGATCGAGGCTGGTTTAGAACTCCTTAAAAAGGGTATTATTTGGCGAGTGGGAGATGGTAGGAGTATCCAAATCAAACGAGACCAGTGGATTCCAAGAGATGAGGGACTGAAAACAGCTACATTCATAAGGAGGTCCAGGTTAAGATGGGTAAACCAACTCATGTGCTCGGACAGGAAAGAATGGAACGAGCCACTAGTAAGGCAAAATTTTCACTCCTTTGATGCGGATGAGATTTGCAAAATCCCCATCCCGAGGGTGGATGCCACGGACTGCATCGCGTGGCATTATGAAAAGAGTGGCAATTTTTCAGTCAGGAGTGCATACAAACTTGCGGCTGCCATCGAAGGTCATACGAACTTGGCTCCCTCCAGCTCGTCTAGCGACAACAATGACCGCAACATATGGGATTTGATCTGGAAGGCGAAAGTACCCCCCAAAGTCAGGATTTTTGGTTGGAGGGTAGCAACTGATACCCTGGCCACCCAGTGCAATAAGTTCAGACGAACCATCATTCAGGATGGTACCTGCATCATTTGTGGTACAGCAGCAGAGGATGAGCATCATGCGGTGATTAACTGTACTAAAAGTAGAGCTCTGAGGCAGGCCACGAGGGAAGTTTGGGATCTCCCTCCAGAGAAAAGCTTCCGCTACACGGGTCGCGACTGGTTACAGATACTTCTGGACACGGTGTCTGATGATCTACGTGCAAAAATACTCTTTCTCCTTTGGAGATGTTGGCACTTGCGAGATGATTGTGTCCATGCAGGGGGCAAGGAGTCAATATTGGGATCAGTGGACTTCCTTCAGAGATATGAGGAGGAATGGAAATCTGCTTCGGTCCAGGAACTTTCAGTTTCAGGCAAAACTACTGGGGTTCTGTTCAAATCAGGGGTGAGCGGCCTCGTTGTTCAACGCTTACTATGGTCGACTCCGGCAGTTGGCTGGGCTAAGTGCAATACTGACGCGGCGTTTTTTTCAAGAAAATGGCAATAACTGGGCGGGAGCGGTGAACCGTGATCACGCCGGTTTGGTCTTGTCTCCAGTCTGCAGGAAACTGCCACATTCACGCACGGCCGAGGAAGCGGAGGGTCGAGCTGCGCTGATCGGCCTTCAGTCCTTGGCGAACTTCTATAAGGGACCGGTGGTGTGGGAAACTAACTGCAAGTCTCTGACCAACCTTTGCAGTGCTGATAACCCAAGCAGATCGCCACTATTTGGTCTGATCCTGGACATAAAAGTTACCCTTGCAGTCTTTTCTGAATACAAAATATCACACGTCCCCAAAGAATGCAATAAGCTAGCACACGAGCTCGCTGCTGAAGCCAGGATTAGCGGAGACCAGGAAATAATTGCTAAAGTTCCCGACAGACTTCAGGACCTTGTTGCCTCCGAGTGTATTACAGCCTGAGTAGTTTCTTGGGCACTCAAAAAAAAAGAAATAATGTACTGTATCAGATATGTGGCCACGTGCACTTCATCAGACTTTCGTTTTCATAGTCAGGCCGGCGCGCGGCACCCGGCCGTCCGCCGTCCATCCCAGCCCAGCGGGCGCGCTCTCTCTCCCTGTCCCTCGCTCGTTCCACTTCCACCCCAGCGGGAGCGCGAGCGCTGCGACCAGCGTAGCGCCGCCGCAGCAACCTCCGGCGGCTGCCCCGCAATGGATCTGGTGGTGGTCGGCGACGGCCCTGGGAGGCCGACGCGGTGCCGAGATCGAGGCGGCGGCGAGGCATCTCGCGTCTTCCCCGCCTCCTCCTCCGAAGGTGCCCGACAGGTAGCCCGCGATTCCCCTTTACTCGGATCGATCCGTCAAGCGAGGTTAGCTTCGGGGAATTTTTTGTTGTTATTTAGGGGACTGGAACTACCGCGTTGAATCGATTCAGTAAATATACCTGTCAAAAAAGGATTCAGTGCAGATAGCCCTTTGCTCTGCTCTGTGGATGCTTATGCTTATGGTTTCATTCAGTACTAGTACAAAAGCTTCTGTTGTTGGATGAATAATCTTAACCTACCGTTGCATTACCCCTTTATCTGTACTTCTGTAGGCAAGCATTACCATTTCTACACAAAAGGTAGACAGAAACCACTGTACTTCACAATTCATCGTTCACGAACATGAAGTCGACGAGTAATTAGCAACCAAGGCGCCCGGTTATGATTCAACATTACACTATGCACACTAAGTAGCCATCCTTTTGTCTGTCTGAACATGAGTAGATTGTCTTCCCTTTCATTACACGCTCTTAACCAAAGGCACGTTTCTGTTTCTGTCTCAACTTTAGTGTTAATAAAACAGAAGGAGCCCCCCTCAGGAAAGCAACGACATCATGCAGAATGATATTATCTGCCCTGTAGAGCAGACATTGTCACATCGTTAGCGCTAGGTGGCTCTTCATCCGTTACCCTTACGTGGAAATATGCTGGATGCTTAGGTTCAGGCAGGGGTATACTTTCGCTGCTTAGCATTGTAACCATGCTTATTGTGGTGGGTCTATCAGCTGCATTCTCTTGTACACACAGCAATGCGATGTTGATACACCTCATTGTGTCTGATGCATGTGACTCTGAAACTATTGATTCGTCAACGAACTCAAGCCATCTTTCTTCTTTCCACAACTTCCATGCCTTGAAGGAGTTTAGACACATATTAGATAAAGGTCATCAGATAAACAGAGTAATTTTACATATGGGATACAGAAAATACTTACATATCCAAGAAGGTTGAAGAAGTCCCCATTTTTATGGAAAGACGAGTTCCTTTTTCCATGGATGATCTCGAGAATCAGAACACCAAAGCTGAATACATCAGACTTGATCGAGAAGAGGCCCTCTGATGCATACTCTGGAGCCATATACCCACTGTGAAAATATACAGAAAAAAAAGTAAACTTCTGTCTGGTATTTGGTTAACTTGCAGTAGTATGTACTTAAGGAAGAGCTTACTATGTCCCAGCAACCCTTTTTGTGTTCCCTTCAATATCATTTGAACTGAATATTTTTGCAAGCCCAAAATCTGATATTTTAGGATTCATCTCACTGTCCAAAAGAATGTTACTTGCTTTAAGATCTCTATGTATGACACGTAACCGGGAGTGTTTATGCAAATATAGAAGTCCTTGCGCTATTCCTTCGATAATTGCTTTTCGTTTATTCCAGTTCAGTAAAGCTCTTTTAGTTTCATCTGCACATTAGTTTACAAATATATGTATATTAGATAGATGGGGAGGACTGGATGGCTTTAGCAGACAGAGTTAAACCATATATAATACATAACAGGATATTACGTGAACTAATACCAAAGATAAAGGAGTCCAAGCTTTTATTTGGCAAATATTCATAGATCAATATTTTTTCCTCCCCTTGTGAGCAACATCCCAACAGTCTAACCAGATTTGTGTACTGGAGCTTGGCTATGAGTTGGACTTCATTTTTGAACTCTGTGAAACCTTGCCCAGAATGTGAAGCAAGTCTCTTAATTGCTATCTCCAAACCTTCTGGAAGCTGGCCCTATGGAGGTTCAAATGAGATTGATTAGTGATACAATATCATCTTGCGAAATAGAAGTGCTTTTACTTATCTTCTGACTGGTAATCCCCCATGCTTCTGGGTAAAATTAAAGCTACATGTATAAAATCTACATGGTCGTACAAATTTAGCCATCAACGCAAACTTATTCCATTTTGTTCTCTTTGTTTACAGGAATAATAAATGTGTTCTTTTACCTTGTATACTGGACCAAAGCCACCTTGCCCCAATTTATTTTCATCTGAGAAGTTATTTGTAGCATTTGATACTTCTGAAAAATCAAAAAGCTTGAACTCCGGACTCCTTCCTATTCCCCAGACCAGTTCTTCATCTTCCTGTGAGCTCAGTTTACCTAAATTCAAAAGGCAGAGTTTATCTAATCCTTTCAGGTAATGCTGATGTAAAGTATATATGAATCTGAATAGCCTAAGAGATTTGTGAGTACAGTTGCATTTCCTTAACAAACCTTTTATGTGCCTTTTGACCAGTCCAAGCCAAACGATGAAGCAGAAAAATGATGCTAGTAGAAGCGCAACAGTGGTAATGATCAAAACCTTTATTATATTCCCTAAAACAAAAGATTTCACACAAACATAGGTGGTTATGTTTTAAGGAATGTTTCAACATATAAAATAGTCTTGCTTACTCTTGTGTTTATGGCTGGGAGTCTCGTCTTTCTGCCTGGGAAGATCAACTGGCCCTGGCGCCGGCTTGGGTGCCGGCATGTTTATTGTTGGATCTACAGCACCCGACAAGGTGATATGCTGCATGGGCTGACCCTCGTAGAACTGATATGTGCTATACCTGAAATTGCACCACACACCAGCAATCCATTCACCACGTTGCTGGTAGAAGAAACTCTTCGCCGCACTCCTGATATTGTCGAGGCAATCCCAACAGTCATTTGGCGGTAGGTCCAGGACTCCAGGTTGCACTGCGCCAGAGAGTAGAGCAGCGGGATTGTGCTGTAGACATCCATGCGGCCGGTGGCGTACATCATCGTCGAGTTGTAGGCTGCTTGTTTGGCTGTCTCTTGAAGCAGCACCTTGATGTTGCCATCAATGCTGACATCGGTGTACTTGGCGCTCACCTCGCTGGGGATGTTGGGATCCATATTGTGTTTTGTGGTGTCCGTGAAGACCAGCAACCTGTTCAGCACAACAGTAGAGTCGTAGATAAGATCCTTCGCAGAGATGTGGACGATGCAATCCTTGTATAGAATATGCGCCTCCTTGTGGTTTGTGCACACCCGCCACACATCCTGGAATGCTGTGGTGATGCAGCTGGGGCAGGCATCGACGACGCCATCACCGCGGCACACCACGACGCCGTATATGCGGTCTTGGTCAGTTCCGACGAAGCCCTTGGCGAGGTTGGTTCGTGTGGATGAGGCACTACTGAATAGCGCAGTAGATAGGAGCTCAAGGTTCTCTCTGTAGGTGCTCTCGTTCATGTGGGAGTCTCTGTAGTAGCAGATCTGCGTCAGTGGATTGACGGCAGCGACGAATGGCTCGAAGCCGAGAATAAGCAGCAAGGAGATGATCATGGTTCTGGCTAACCATAGGTAATTCAGCTCTGCCCCCTCCAGCAGCTTCCTTGTTATAAGCATCATTTGGAAAACTCGTCTGTCTTACGGTTTGACTGCTTACTTGTTTAGTGATTATCTGATGATATCAGCTTGCAGGCCGTGCAATCAAATTTCGTGGAATACAATACTGCTGCCGTCCAGGCATCAGCCTGTGTAATGGCTACAAGCAATGCAAGACAAGGGGAGAGAACAATAACAAATCCAGTTTCAGTGTTTCCGTCAAAGGAGAAGAGGTCTTCTTGTGACCTTGAGGAGAAGAGGTCTTCTTGTGACCTTGAGGGAGGTGGGGAGTTGAAGGTGATTACGATCGTTCGGTAAAGCTAATGGACTACTCCCTCCGTCTCATAATATAAGAACGTTTTTGACACTAGTGTAGTGTTAAAAGCGTTCTTATATTTTGGGACTGAGGGAGTATTGGTTAGAAGCTTGACTCGGAAATGTTTCTTATGCTGAAATGCTTTGAAAATGCTCTTAAGCTTGTGTGATGCGAAACATGGGCAAAAGCAAGTAACCAGCTGGCAAATTCGGTTACCTCCCAGCCAAACACAGTACAAAATCTCAAAGTATAGTTTGTGGAAAATGCTTATGAACTGGCATAAATTGTAGTACTATATGAGTATAGCATTGACTGAGACTTAACGAGGTCTCAGTCGACTGAGATTTAGCAAGAACTGATATGAGAAACAAGTCTGCAAAACAGTACACCCCAGGAAAACAAATGTGTTTTTAATAGAACAGTAGGTTTCCCTGGTGGATGTTTTCCATTTTAATGCAAATAAAAACAAATGATAAGAGCATTTTTTTTGTTTATTCACATTTTGATATTCTTTTGAGGAATCACATGCACATTTCAGTGTACCTACACAACACAACACAACACAAAAGCTATATTTCCCAAGACTATTTCTGCACAAGGTCTATCTAACATTGCGTGCATCATCATCTGTTCTTGGAGCTCCAGTCCATGATGGCCGACCGGAGCGAGTGGTTGGGGATGAGGCTCTTGCTCGGCAGCCGGAGGTTGGTCATGGGCGACTTGTCCTTCATGCTCACCCATGTCTCGATCGCCTTCCGGTCGTAGGTGTACCCATCGGCGGCGACGCATGGGTCCTCCATGATTTCCTGAAGAATGGGGCAGAGGAAGTGGCCTGGGGCTGCTGACGATGATGCTGTCCGGAGAAGGGCCTTCGTCTCCCTGGCGGCTCTGGCAGCGATGTCCTTGATCCGCTCCAGCGCCGGGAGGATGTGCTCGCGCAGCCCGGGCCGGTCCCTGCGTCGCATCTCTGCGCACCGCAGCGCAAGTGCGGCCAGCTCCCTAGCCTCCTCTGGCGGCCACTGCCCGGCGGTTGCGTCCAGCATCTCCGCGAAGGAGTCACCGCCGTCTTCCTCCAGTGCGGTCTCCACGGCATGGGCGAGCCCGAGCGGCGACGTCCGCCCCGTGAGCAGCTGCAGCACTACCACGCCGAGCGCGTACACGTCTGACTTGGCCGACACGGCGCCCGTCCGCTGGTACTCCGGGTCGATGTAGCAGAACGTGCCCACGGGCGTCGTGTTCCTCACCATCGTGGACTGCTGCTGGCCTCCTCCACCTCCGGCGCCCGAGTGGTGGAGCAGCGCCGTCGAGAGGCCGACATCGCCGACCTTGCTGGAGAGGTTCCGGTCGAGCAGGATGTTGGCCGGCTTGAGGTCGCGGTGGATGATGGGGTCCGGCCTGGCGCTGTGGAGGAAGGCGACGGCGGTGGCCACCTCCCAGGCGACCCGGATGCGGTCGTACCAGGCGAGCGGCGGCATGCCGTTCCGGCGGTGGTTGAGCGCGTCGTCCAGGCTGCCATTCGCCATGTACTCGTACACCACGCAGCCGCGCTCCGGGCACGCGCCCAGCAGCAGCAGCAGGTGAGGGTGCCGGATCTTGCCCAGGACCTCCAGCTGCAGGTGGTAAGATGAAATTAGGAGTTGCAAAACAAAAGTTCAGACAATAACTGAACTCGAATTCTGTTTGATTTTGTTTTTTAACAAAACCAGTTTTTTTTTTGCCAAAAAGGATCACAATCAAAGTATTATGTGTTAATGATGGGAAAGTTGGTCTTGTTTTGAGATTTCTTTACGACGGGAATGCTCAAAGGGATCACAATCGAAATATATGTATTTATTTCCCTCAAAAGGAAGAGGATATTTGTAGTTGAGATTTGAAGTGAAAATGAACATAACCATGCCTTTGATGTGAAACTAGCCAAATAGAAAGATAAATAGCCTTAATACTAAAATAACTATATTTTCCATATTTACCATTGTGCTTTCATGGCAATATGCAATGTTCATATTAGCCCTATATGGTCATTTATAGGCTCTCACCTATTAATAGTAGCACCTATCAATAGTAGGCATGAGTCATTGGATCATCGAAAAGTAATGACTTATATTAACTGAGGAGTATCTTAAAATTTCCCAATTTTGTTTGCTAAAAATCACCCTTTTGGTATAATATGAGCAGCTAGTAAAAAACATTTGTGTGTTGGCAAGTAAATACAGTACC